CTCCGCACACCACTTTGTTTCCCTTAAACTCACCGCGCGTAATTATCTATTTTGGATGACGCAGATGATCCATTTTTGGAAGGTCAGGGTTTGCTCGACTTCGTCGATGACACCTATCCTTGTCCAGTGGTCACTGCGCCGGCGGCTTCGACGCCGGACAATGGTGGCGTTGACCCGACAGCGCTTTCTCCTCAGGTTCAGTGGCGTCGGCAGGATCGGGTGATCTTGTCGCTTCTGATTTCCTCCCTCTCTGGTGAGACGATGCTGTTGGCGGTTGGTCGGTTGTCGTCACGAGCGTTGTGGTTGGCGATAGAATAGTCGATGGGTTCGACGACTCAGTCCCGTGCTCTGCGTCTACTGAACGAGTTGCAGAGTTTGGCACAAGGCGGCTCCTTCGTTTCAGATTATCTTAACTGTGCGCAGAGTTTGGCGTTAGCTGGACGTCCTGTGACTCTTGACGATCAGAACTTGTATGTTTTCCGCAACTTGCGGCCGGATCTTCGTCCGTTGCTGGCTCTGTTGACACGCAGTTCTCTGGTCACTTTGACGGAGTTGGCTGACTATTTGGTCTCACAAGAGTTCATTTGTACCGGCGGGGGTGACTATGGTGCGCCGACTGATATGACGACGAGTCGTGGTCGCGGTGGTCGCGGCAGGAATAGTCAGTCCCGCGGCGGTGGTGGTCGTGGACGTGGAGGTCGGGGGCGTGGTTGTGGTCGCTCCTGGTCTAATATCCAGTGTCAGATATGTAATGGTTAGGGACATTCTACTCTAACTTGTTATCGCAAGTTTTCTGAGTCGCCGGGACCTCAGGCGCATATGGCTTATTCAGCTAATGCTGGTGGCTCCGTTGAATCGATATGGTTTTGACACGTGTTACTTTTTTATTTTATTTTTTAAAACAAAATTTTTTATCTATTAAAAATTAAAAAGATTATTTATTATAAATAAATAAATTTTTTTTTAAAAAAAGAACATCCACCGACTGTCCGCACCGGACAGTTGGTGGCTGTCTTCTTCACGGATAGTCGTGGTTGTCCGGCAAGACGGCCACGTCCGTCTAAGGAAGACGGTCATGGCTGACGAAGGAAGACGGCCATGGCCGACGAAGGAAGACGGTCATGGCCGTCTTCTAGATCTGGAACGATGGCTATAGCCTTCACCGCCACCCTCGTTCTAGTCCCCTCCGTCTAGAACGAGGGCGGCAGCCATGGCCGTAGCCCTCGTTCCAGATCTAAACGACGGCCATAGCCGTCTTCCTTCGTCGGACATGGCCATCTCCGTAAAGAAGACAACCACCGGCTGTCCGGCGCGGACAACCGGTGGCTATTTTTTTTGTTTGTTTGTTTGTTTGTTTTTTTTTTATTTTTTATATTTATGTATTTATTTAGAATAAAAAATATTTTTAATTTTGAATAAATAAATTATATAAATTATTAAAAATAATTTTAATTATATAACATGATGGACGAAATGTGTGAGAAAATTTCAATTTTGGTCCACTGACTATTGGAGTTGTGTTAATTGCAACACTTGACTATCAAAAATGTTAATTTAGGACCTTGACTATGTAATTTCTATCAATTTTGGTCACGCCGGCCAAATTACCGGCGAATTGTGACCGAAAAATCTTAAGTCAACATTTGAACTGAATTGGAAGGGGTAAAATCGTGTTTTCTTGTTCCTTCTAATTTGGGAAGTGTTTTCCGTCTCCAACCTATATTTCCGGCGTCCTTCTCCGGCCTCCATCAACGGATTCCTTCTCCAACGTCACAGCCTCTACCTCCAGCCAAGTCCCCAACTCCCATTTCCGGCCACCGTCCCCAGCTTCCTCTCGTCCGAATAACAACTTCAACACCACAGACCACGAACTTTCCAAAAGCTTCACTAGGATCTTGTCCAACTCCAAATTTCTGTATATAATCATCTAAATCTCTTTTTTGTAGTGATTAAACCCTATTTGAGTTTCTAGCTAGGGAGTCGGGTTCAATGCTTTATTATTATTATTATTATTATTATTATTATTATTATTATTATTATTATTATTTGTAGTGAAATCTGAAATCCATCTCCTCTTAGTATCTCACCCTTCTCTGTAGTCGAATTAGGCCATTAGTTGCTTAAGAGAGAGGGTTTCGATGTTTGCTCTTAGGGGACTAGACAGCACGTGAAGCTCCATGGATCTTCCCGGATTACATGAATGAATTGCTGTATTGGGTGGAGAGATGGCCTTTTGCATACGCAGTGTGGAACTCCGGCGAATATGGCGCCGGAGGTGTTGAGGAAGAAGAAGAAGCAAATAATCTTTTTTTTTTAATGTAAAATGACTCTTTTGCCCCCATGAATAAAAATTTTAAAAATGTTTAAGGTTTTCCGGTCACATTTGGCTGGTAATTTGGCCGGTGTGACCAAAATTGATAAGAATTGGATAGTCAAGGTACTAAATTAATATTTTTGAAAGTCAAGTGTTGCAATTAACACAAGTGCAATACTCAGTGGACCAAAATTGAAATTTTCTCCGAAATGTCACATTATGAATAATTAAATAGTTGGGTTTGTTCAAATCAATTGACTGTGATTAAATTTTTTAAAAGTAAAACAATTGAGAGGCTAAAAGCACTGATTTCCTTTCTAATAAAGAAAGAATTATGGTTATACGTCATTACATATCAAGTATAACTTTATTATCCTAAAAGTGTTTACTTCTAATTAATTAATTGTTTACATTGTATTTTGTGTAATTTGAGTGCATTAATCATTCACATTTTATTGATAATTTCTGCATTTAATGAATCAGAAGTTAACATATTTGTCGGAATGTACGAAATGTGTTGTGTCCATACCGTAACAGGATAACTTTCATAACTCAAATTCCATTCATTAGTTGAAACAAAAAGGTTAATTCACAATGAAACTAAACCGCACGGACTTTGACAAGTTCATCATCAAATCAGTTAGGCAAAAAACGAAAGTTTTCACTGCACTAAGAAAACGTTTAGGATACACACAAAAACAATTTGGCCCAGCTTTGTAACATAGTTAGCTTATTATTAGTTTATTTTGACTTATTTGATCACTATTAGCTGTTTGACTTAGTTAAACAGCCAATATAAGGCCTTATTTGGTTCGCGAAAAATATTTGAGGGGAAATGGAATTTAAATTCCATGGAAAAGAAATTACCGGGAAGAGTAATTACATTGTTTGGTTGGTGAAAAATAAATTACTGAGAATATCAATTATATTTCATTGTTTGGTTGTGTTTGGAATTGTAAGGAATAATGAGTATAAAGACAGTTATACCACTACATAATAAGGGAAAACGGGCGCTTTTGGCCCCTCAATTGTTTTACTTTTGTAAATTTAGTCCCTGTCAATTGATTTGAACAGACCTAACCCTTTAATTGTTCATAATGTGACACAATTGGTCCCTCATGTTATATAATTAGAATTGTTTTTAATAATTTATATAATTTATTTATTCAAAATTAAAAATATTTTTTATTATAAATAAATACATATATTAAAAAAAAAAAAAAGCGACCAGCTATCCGCGCCGGACAGCCGGTGGCTGTCTTCTTCACGGAGACGCCCATGGTCGACGAAGGAAGACGGCCTTGGCCGTCTTCTAGATTTGGAACGGGGGCTATGGCCATGACCGCCGCCCTCATTCCAGACGGAGGGGACTGGAACGAGGGCAGCGGCGAAGGCCGTAGCCCTCGTTCCAGATCTAGAAGACGGCCATGGCCGTCTTCCTTCGTCGGCCAAGCCGTCTTCCTTCGTCGGCCAAGCCGTCTTCCTTAGACAGTCGTGGCCGTCCTGTCGGACAGCCACGGCTGTCCGTGAATAACACAATCACCGACTTTCCGGTGCTGACAGCCGGCGGCTGTTCTTTTTTTTTTTTTTTTTTTTTTTTTTTTTTTTTTTTTTAAATTTAATTTATTTATAATAAATAATCTTTTTAACTTTTTATAAATAAAAACATTTGTTTTAAAAAATAAAAATAAAAAAGGACACGTGTCAATACCGCATCGATTTAACTTGATAAATAAGTTCAATTAGACTTAATTAAACAATTTTACCGGTTTAGGAGACTTAAATGAAGCTTTTTTCACTTAGGGGACTCAATTGCACTATCCGCTTGACTTAAGGGGGGGGGGGGGGGGGGGGGGGGGGGGGGGGCAATAACAAGGAGAACAAAGTTAAATGGTTGAAAAGTTTGGACAATTATAACCTCATAAAAAATAAAATTTTAAAACCATTCTAATTATATAACATGAAGGACCAAATGTGTCACATTATGAACAATTAAAGGGTAAGGTTTGTTCAAATCACACTGCTGAAAATTATGTCCGACCACCTGAAAGTGATCTTAAAAAAAAAAAATCAAGTCGAAAGCCTTGTTCCGACCACTTTTAGTATCCGGAAAAATCTTTGTTGCTATTTCTGACCACTTTTTGCTTTCGAATTGATTTAAGATCACTTTCAGGTGGTCGGAAATTCCATAATTTCTAGTAGAACTAAATTTTCAAAAGTAAAACAATTGAGGGGCCAAAAGCGTCGTTTTCTCGGATTAAATATTAGTAGTTACTTTGGTAAAACAATAGCATTAAATATTATTATGGGAATTCTACTCAAATTTGTTATATTGTTAGCTTAGTAGTAAACTTTAATGTAACAAGTTCATATAAATTTGTTATTGGCGTGTAAATATGATCTTGACTAAAAGAGTAAATATGAAGTTTTATATGCAACATTCCAATAATATATATATTTTTTGAAAGTCATTCCAATAATATATATTCACACACTAAAAGGAAAAAAAAAAAAAAAAAAAAAAAGTGGTTTGGGCGTTTGGTGTGTCGAGAACCGCGTTCCTAGCTCCATGATTAATCCCACCCCGCCCTGCTTATATATAATCCCGGCCATAGCTTGTATGTATATATCAGTTCAACTACTACATACTCAACTTAATTCTTGGTTCATTAAAGATAGGATATATATGGCGTCCCAGTTTTCGTTGCTTCCCGCAGTCGCCACCGTGCTGGCCGCCACCGTACTCCTCTGTGGAACAAATGGGCAGCTCAGCTCTTCCTTCTACTCCACCACTTGCCCCAATGTTTCTACCGTTGTCCGCACTGTGATTCAGCGATCCTTGGTGGCGGATTCTCGCATTACTGCCAGCCTTATCCGTCTCCATTTCCATGACTGTTTTGTTAACGTAAAATTCCGGCCTGGAATTCATGAATATATACATACATATATATACCTCTGTGTGTGTGTGATTTTTTTTTGTTAAATTAATGACTTGGTCTGATCTGCAGGGTTGTGATGGTTCAATTTTGTTGGACGGAAATGAAAGCGAGAAAGGTGCAGCTCCAAATGCGAATTCTGCTAGGGGGTTCGACATTGTTGACAACATCAAGCTTGAGGTTGAGGACGTTTGCAAAGGTGTGGTGTCATGTGCTGATATTTTAGCACTCGCTGCCGAAGCCTCGGTTTCACTGGTGATTACATTTCTCCTATATAGTTTTCCATTTTTATTTTTGCTTTACTAATTATATTATGGATGGACTTGATTTAATTAATCTAACATATATATATATATATATATATATATATATATATATGCATGAAGAGTGGTGGCCCTTCATGGAATGTGTTGTTGGGCAGACGGGATGGAAGAACATCAAACAAGGAAGGTGCTGAAACTAATCTTCCTTCTCCATTCGCAACTTTGAACGAAATTGTTCAAAAGTTTGCAAGGGTTGGCTTGAACATTAATGATGTCGTAGCTTTATCTGGTAAGTATGTGTGACACACATATTTCTTGCATCTCACTAGTAGTTATAAACAATGATGATTTACTTTTTAATCATGTTAATTATATTGCAGGCGCACATACTTTTGGACGTGTACAATGTCGTTTCATCAACGACAGACTGTACAATTTCAACAATACCGGCAACCCTGACCCGTCTCTAGACCCTGCCTACTTGGTTATATTAAGGAACACCTGTCCCCAGAATGGATCTGCATCCAACGTGGCCAACTTCGACCCGGCAACCCCAAATTTATTTGACAACAACTACTTCTCTGGATTGCTGAAGAATCAGGGTCTTCTGCCATCGGATCAAGTGTTGCTGTCTATGCCCGGTGTGGTTAACCATTTTGCTCAAAACCAAACTGCATTTTTCGAGAGCTTTGCAGTTGCCATGATTAACATGGGGAATATAAACCCTTTAACAGGGTCTAGTGGGGAAATTAGGTCTAATTGTAGAAACCCGAATTAATATTGCATGTACCTATAATGTTTGGATTATGTGGCACCAGATATAAAGATATATAAATATAATAAAATAAAGTTTATAATTCTGTTGTTGTTTTGAAAGTATATAATAAAGTTTATTCATGTTTTGAAATTATATAATTTTCTTTAAGTACACGATTTTTAGAATTAAATTTTGAATTAGATTTAACAATATAATAATATTTCATCCCATGCCAACTTGCCAAGGCATAAAAAAAGTCAAAAACAATAATGAAATTTAATAAATCAAACAAAGTTTTCATGGTTATATCTCTATCTTTATATATATATATATATATATATATATATATATATATATATATATATATATATATATATATATTAAAGCAACATGATGGCCACAAAATTTTTCCTCCAAAGTGTGAATGTATTTTGACAGAAACAAGATTAGTAAGTATGAATGCATTAATTGTGTGGGTAGATTTATTTATACATATATGTTTCTGAAGTTATTAGGCGTATTTATATAGGGGTTTAGAGGGTTTTATTCTCGAATTCCTGTATTTTGCTTTCGCAACGCATGTTGCTCCGTGTGTTGCCCTTCTCCGCCTTCTTTGCAACGTGACTCGCAACGTGCGTTGTGAGTCACGTTGAACTTTCTGGAAATCCAACATTTTTCAGTTTCCCTCCAACGCGCGTTGCTCCTGCGTTGGAACATCGACCATCTCCACAACGCGTGTGGCAACGTGCGTTGCCACACACATTGGACTTTCTAGAAATTTGGCTTTTCTTCTTGTCTTGGCAACGTGTGGTGTAACGTGGCGTTGCAACTTCCCCTGTTTCGTTGGTGATTCGGTGGATGCCACAGCGTGAGGCACAACGCACATTGTCGTGGAATTGTGACCTCTCTCACCTTTTCCTTTTTGGCTTTTCTCTCCTTGTCCAATCCTATCAACTTCACCGCTTCCTAATATGAAAAGTTAGCTCTTCTGTGACACCCCGAAATCCAAATTCGATTAAGGGATTAATTAAATAATTAATCCTATTTCAATTAGTAATTTAATTCTTAAAATCCCGGAAATTCAATAGTCGGGGACAAGTAATTAACTAGTCAACCCCAAAGTCAAAGTTGTACCTTGAGCTTTGAAGGGAGTTCCCTTACACCTCTTCATGTTAGTAAGGGTATTCTTGACTTTTCACCTTGTGTTAGTATTGTAAGCTAACCTAGTAGAACACCCTCATTTCTCTCCTTAATTACACTTTCCAAATTCTAGCTCCACCTTCTCTCTAAAAAGGTAGCTAGCTTTTCTTTCAAGCCAAGTTGAAGCTTTGTCAAAACTTCAAGAGTTCTCTCCAAGATTCTACCTTTCATACATTTGGGCATCTAGGAGGGTAAGATCCATGTTCATCTTGTGTTTTTAGTGTTTTCTAAGGTGTCTTTTCTTAAAGATAGAATCTTTATGATCTTTCGGTGTGTTCTTGAAGTGGGCGTGGAGGGTGAGCTTTGTTAGGAGCTTGGTGAGGTGTTAAGAGAAGGTTTTTTGTCTAAAAGAGGTAACCCATGCTCTACAAAATCTATATTGCTTACCTATATGATGATTTATTGGATTCTACATGTGATTTTGCTATGAAATGTGAGTGTTGATGCATTGTCTTGTGAAAATGCATATCTAGAGCTTGTGTTTAGGGTTCTTGTGTGACATTGCTTGGCTATTCCTTTGATTCAAGTCATTTTGTTGTATTTGGTGAGATTTGGCATGTTTTGGACTTGAATTTGAGCTTGGAGTTGAAAATCCCCGAAGGGATTATTTTGTACAGGGTTACGTACCCGCGGGCGGAACGGCGGGCAGGGGGTCTACCCGCCGCCTACCCGCGGGGTACAAGGCTTCATGGGTATGTACCCGCGGGCGGAACCGCGGGTAGGGGCCTACCCGTGGGTCCACCCGCGGGGTACGGTGTGTGGTTGATTGGGAATTTGTTTCCCGTGATTCTTTTGACTCGGTATTTGGTCTTTTGACTCCCGATGTTCTTTTGTGGAACTATTTGAGCGTCTTCTTGATGTTTCGTATGTCTAGAACTATATGGTAGGAATCCATGTAGGTTTTGGTGTCTTGAATCGTGCTAAGTGTTCAACATTGTGTTTCGTTGAACCGTGATGAGTCTTGTGTGTTCTTCGGAACTACGTTTGGTTTACCCATTTGATAAGCATGCTAGTTCGGTGTTCAAATGCTAGCGTGTGTGTGGTTTGTACCTTCTTATCAGTTGATGATAACTTGTGTTATTCATCGTTGTTGTTGTTGGACTGTGATCCATTCCTTGATTGAGTATGGTTTCATATCTTCGTTGTGATCCGTTGATTGATTCCTGTTGTGGTGTGATGTGTGTGTGGCTTTACCTGGATTGCACGATTAGTGGTATGGAACACTAGTCACCAAGGTATTGCAGTGGTCCTCGTGGTGGCCATGACGTGATTATGGAGTTGTGACCTGTGTGTCAGGTTCACGTATTTTGGGAGAGGCGTGTGTCGCCGTGTGTGTGAACGGTACCCTCGTGTATGTACTATGAAATTGGTGGTCTTGTTGGTGGTTCGTTGGTGGGGGACAACGGTCCCAGGAGGGAAAAGGTTGGACTAAGAAGTACAGGGGTCCTGGAGGTAAAGGTTGGAACTAGATTTATGGTTGGGGGTAGCCATAACGCTGGAACCGGGCATAAGGAAGGCATATTAACTCGTGATGGGTGATGTCACGAGGGCTTGTGTAGCCGTTGTTGTGAGTTCTTTTCTTGTGACGTGTGTAGTCACAAAGGCATGTGTTGCCGTTTGGTGTGTCTTTATTCCTTTGAGTTATGCATGTCGGGTATTAATCTATTGTGTGATGATAGATTATACCTTGAGACTTCTTGTGAGTCGTTGTTGTTCTTTGTAGTCTTGGGATGTGTTCCCGTGTTCTTGTTGAGAGTGTTTGAGTCTTGTGTTGACTATTACTCTTGGTTTTGGACTTATATATATGTATTCCGTTTCGAAAATGGATTTACAAACTTATATCTTATCTATGTATGATATTTCACATGTATTGGTGGGTTACCGGCATTATTCGCTGACCGGGCGTCGTCCCATGTTTTATATGCTTCTTTCAGGTGATGCTTAGACGAGTGCGCGGTTTAGTGTAGCTCCTGCCTTATGTTTTGTGGCCTGTGAGCTAATTTAGACTTAGTACTCTGTTATGTTGTTTTAGATGTTGAACAATGCAGATGTAGCCTATGCGTTCACCTTTGGGTCAGCGTGGCATAGCACCCATATACTTCCAGTTTATATATTTCATCTTTCAGTCTTGCGCTGTGTTTTATGTTTTGGCTTAGATATCTGCATGTTTTAAGGCTTTAAATAGCATGGTTTTAGGGGGTGTTACAGTTGGTATCAGAGCCTAGGTTTGAGCCTAGGAGGGTTAAGTCTAGACGTTCTAAGTGGCTAAGTGTGGTTTGAGACCTTAAGGTGACCTTAAGAATCTAAGTGTTAGGCTTAGGACTTTAGGACGCGCGGTGAGGTTGTGAGTTCTTGTGTCATTTTTTGTTGTGTTTTCTGTTCTTGTTTTCCTTTTAGCTTTGGTTCTCTTTAGTTAAGGCACCAGGTAAGGGTGCGGGCCCTAAGTTTCCTCCCGTTATAGTGCTGTTGCTGTAGAAGTCGAGGATGGCACCATCGAGACGTCATGCAAGGTCTTCAGAAGCAGTCACCAGTGAACAGTTAGCTCAAAGTCTTCATCAACTGACGCAGATCACCCAGACGCTAAACAATGCCCTCCTCAACAACCACCCTCTTCAGGATGGGAATCGTGACATAGTACGCCAAGTCGCAAGTCTCCGTTCCCCGATCTTCGCCGGTGAAGAAGATCCCGCAGTGCTGGACGAGTGGATCCGGATGTTTGACAAAATCTTCGAAGTTGTGGTATGCTCGGAGAATCGCAAGGTGGAGTTGGTTACGTTCTACCTTCGGCAAGAAGTGGACTCGTGGTGGATGCTTGAAAGTCCAGCTTGTAGACAAGATCCGAAGTTCAGTTGGAAAGACCTGAAGGTTAAGTTACGCGAGCGGTTCTATCCTGCTCAAGTCAAGGAGGCCTACCTTTGTGCAACCTACTGTGACACCCCAAAAATCCACACTCCAATCCATGAATTAATTGAGTAATTAATTCTATTTCTTTGAGGAATTGATTCCTAAAATCCTGATTTTTAATACTCAAGGACTAGTATTTGACTAGTCAAGCTTTAAGTTGTGTTGTACCTTGTGCTTTAAGAGGAGTTCCCTTGTTCCTTACACTTTCTAAGAGTTAGTAAGGGTATCCTTGTCTTTTCACCAAGAGCTAGTATTGTAACTTAAACCTAGAAGACTTCTTCATTTCATCCCTTGCAATTCCTAGAAAATATCTCTACCTTCTCTCTAGAAAAGAAGAGTAGCTTGTTCTTCAAGCCAAGTGAGACCTTTGTCAAGATTCCAAGTTTTGCTTCCAAGATTCAATCTTTCATCTATTTGGGCATCTAGAAGGGTAAGATCTAAGCTTGTCTAGTCTTTTTGGTTCCATCTTAGTTGTCTTTTTTCTTAAAGGTGGGATCTTTATGATCTTTTGGTTTGATCTTGAAGTGGGTTTGGCTAGTGAGCTTAGTGGAGAGCTTGTTGTGGTGTAAGAGAAGTCTTTTGGTCTTCAAGAGGTAACCCATGCTCTACAAAACCTATTCTGCTTACCTATATGTGATTTCTTGGATTCTACTTGTGTTTTGCTATGAAATGTGAGAGTTTATGCATTTATCTTGTGATATTGCATATCTAGAGCTTGTATTTAGGATTCCTTTGTGCCATTGCCTGACATTTTCCATGGTTTAAGTCATTTTGTTGCATTTGGTGAGATTTGGCATGTTTTGGACTTGAATTTGTGTTTGGAGAAGAAAATCCCCGAAGGGATTTGTTGTGGAACAGGTATGTTCCCGCGGGCGGAACGGTGGGCGGGGCACCACCCGCCGGCCTACCCGCGGGTACACAGCCTCGTGGGATATTGTTCCCGCGGGCGGGACCACGGGTGGGGCACTACCCGTGGGTCCACCCGCGGGTACATGGTT